TTTTAAACTAGAATTTAACTATCTTAGGATTAAATGAATATATATATATATGTCAATCTTCCAGTTGATGCTAACAGATTCTTGTCTTCACCAGAGGGTGTGTAATCGTTGTGGCGTATGTGGAACCTGAGGAAGGAGAACAGTTCCTGGCACAGGTGAAAGCAGACAAGACCATGCCCTCCACACACCTCCTTATTCTCACACTAAGACCCGACCCTGCCTCTTGGTACACCAAAATGGCCAGAATCTTTAGGTAAGCTTTGATATTAATTGTTGTGGTTATCTTGTGATTGTGTGGTACCTCATATCGTCCATGGATATATATATATATGTGTGTGTACTTACTGTCCTTAAATTAATGTAGTTTAAACTGTTGAAAAAAATTGATATTGCATTGTTAGTTAAAAATAGAACATTGTTACAATACCTGGTTTTATTAGTTGATATTTTCTAAACATTGCTCTCTCATTATCAACAGGTCACTAGGCGGCAAACGGAGAATGATTGTCTCTCCTAAATACGAGCTCTCCAAAAGAACATTCTATGACTACGACTCTTAGAGCCTCGTGTGTGCTTGTGGAGGCAGTAGGTTGGTTTTCGTCTAGAGTCGCCACAATGTGTTGCGTGGGCCAAATCGCAAATGTTAAAAGGATCAACCAAATACACGGGAGGATCTCTTGTGGGGAAAACTGATAAAGGGGTAGCTGTTACTGTAATTTTGTTTCCAGTTCACAAACTCAAATGTGTCAACGTCAGATTGTGGATCATCATCAGTAGTATTAATCACTGACGGCGTCTGGATTTGCCAGCGTTAAACAAATCTCATCCATCACAATAATCACTGCCGAATCAAATCATTATTTTAACAAGTTGTCACCATCCATACACAACTCATCATGACAGCTTTTTTCTCATTAGTTCATAAGGCTGCAAGCTGGAGATTATTTTAAACGTTAAAAAACTTGGGAGTTGCATCTCTCACTTAATATATATATTTAGTCTCATCCCTGTGTTGTCATGTCATAAACCATTTTATTTGTAAACATACATGGAAGGAAAATTCCTTGGATCTCTGCACCAAAATAGTTTTAAGAAAGGCCTCTGTCTTCTCTGAATTCATGGAGTTTGGCTAATGAGGACCTGAACCACCTTCAAATTTAGGCTCTTCAGTACCAAGATGGTGTGCTCAAAAGTTTAGACATAAGGTGTAAGATTGCTTTAAAGAGTTTTGTGCAACTCCTGTATACTGGTGATCAGGAATGACTTGAAAGACAAGATAGTATTTGTACTTGTTTTTCCAAGATTTTGTAAGTTTTAACTTAACCAGATTGGTTCTTAGTGTCAGCAGAATGTGTAATTATATCTATATAGATATACTGTATGCTAGATATAAATCTTGTGTATGACATCATAGAAAACGTGTTATTTAGAATAGCTAATGGTCCGGCTTTTACAAATGATCGACCGTTTGTAATTATCTGGGCAAATACTGTTGAATAGATGGGTAACCATCACTCCCACCGCACTACATGAATAGGGGAAGACATGGGTCCACGGGACGCTTGCTATGATGACCATCTCGCCTCCCCAAGCACAAAGGGGTAAGCGACCTTAAGGGTGAGCATTCCTGTTGGTCTGTGATTGCCCTGTAGCGAAAGGGAGGAAGTGTCCTAGTCAGGCAGTTATGCCTCTTGTGATAATAGTTGCTTTGTGATAATATTTTTCTATTTGAAGAAAATAAACGTACAAATGTTTAAACTATTAACTTTGTTTGTGTTTCCATGTTCGTAGTATTCATTAAAATTAATTTTGGCACACTGGTAAACCCAATAATTGAAAGTATAATATTTAAAACGACGTTTAACAATCTTTTATAAAGATAAGGTAATCGTTACAGTAACAATTTTGATTCCACTGCCTAATACAGTGCAGTGCTAAAAAATGTAACAACTTGTTGAATCGTAGTAATGCCGTATAAACTCAAAATTAAGCAAAGAATGCAAATAGCCAACAATCCTGCATATTAGACAACCTTCGCTCTATTAAAGATTTGTAGCTACAATAATGAGATAAAATGTACCAAAGGAAAACAATTGCGTTATACCAAAAGACCCACTTCGATTGTTTGATAATCCTATAGTAAGTGCAGTCAAGGGATTTTAGAATACCTTGTTAGGAACATTTAAGCTACTTGTAGGTTATCGGTGGCACTCAGCCAGGAGCAAAGTTTGTCCATGCGGTCACTCATTCATTTATATTGGTTACCCCACAACCTGACTGACCAAGCCCAGAGCTTAGATGCTGGTCATGTCACCCTGTTGAGGAAACAAGTTACTTTGACCAGAAGGGTGAATTTACTGGGCAGCGTCACCCACCCATCCTGTAAGTCAACATACCGTCATAAGGACAGCACTGGGCAGTGTCTTGCGAGAGAGAATACCGGGAAAGAGACGGTATTGGATAGCGTCACTCATCTTTTTGAGTGGAGATTTGCCATAGCAGCAGATACAACACTCAACCCCCCAACCAATAGGCAGAAAATTCGCTAGGTTGTTAATCCTGTCCTTTGTCTCCGGCTAGATTAAAGGTTGACTTAGTTTGAGGAAACATTTAGACTACAACCATGTTCAACCATTACAGACAAGGCAAGCCTAACAAAAAAATAGCGTTATTTCTGTAAGTGTAAATTCTACGTACTGTACAACAAATCGATGTTTGAATTATTATTATTAATATTAGACTGCTTACTGGTCATTCCATAAAATCGGTGAAAGTAATATTCTGTACATTTAACATCATTCACATGAAATAGGACCAGCCACTTGGACTGGACGGCAGAGTGACGGTCTAGCTTCATGCAGGTCGGCGTTCAATCCCCGACCGTTCAAGTGGTTGGCCACCATTCCTTACCCCTCCGTCCCAACCCAAATCCTTATCCTGATCCTTTCCAAGTGCTATATAGTCGTAATGGTTTGGCGCTCATTCCTGATAGTTCCCTTCCCCTTTACATGTAATAATAAACATCGTTTAATATTAAAATCTTCAACCATCAAAATATTAGTTATATAATTACCAAACCACCCAAAAAGATATATTGTAAACTTTTTACAGAAGCAAAAGTACATTTGATATTTATTATGCATGCAATGTACTTAGACATGTAAACCAGTACTTGAGTGTGTATATATATTATATATATATATATATATATATATATATATATATATATATATATATATATATATATATATATATATATATATATATATTTTTACAACACTAGCATAGAAGAACAGTTACAGCCCCGCTCCTGTGCCAGGTAAGTCCACCACGGGCTCACCATACCCCGTACTACTTGGAACTTTTTGTTCCAAGTAGCGAATCTTAAACAACAACATAGAAGAACCCCCACTTAATGAAACAAAGAAGCTTGAGAAACTTTAGAACCTTACCTCCACAGTCCCCAGAGCCATGAAGCATAGGCTACAGGCACAAGATTTTATTGCAATGGCTTACGGCCTCTAGGGCCTACGGGGTCCTCTATAAGCCTAATAGACTTACTGTCCTCGAGTGGGAAACTTCCACTAACAGTGATTATCCAAAAATATGCTTGGACATAAATATCATTTCGTAGATATGTCAAGAGGCGGGCCCAGGAACTGAAGCTCAAGTCTGCCTGGCCGAGTGCACTCACCTTTAAAAGGTCAAGCCGGTTGCTGAGCTCCGGCTAGTATATGCATTTGTGTGGGCGGCGTGTACTGGTTTGTGAGTGCTGGGAGTGCTTGCTGGGCCCAGCACCACAGCCTGGGCTCCAGCGTCCCAGCTATTGCTTGCCTAATGCAGTTGCTTTCTATTATATCTACTTTCCAAACTATTTATTGTATTAGCTACTTTCATCTCTCACTCGAATCAATTCTCAAACTTCTACTCTGCCTGAATTTGGCCGGTGTTGAGAACGGCTTGTGAAAGTTTTTATCTATATACTCAACATATTCTCATTCTCTCTCTCTTAAGGTACCTTAGTGCTACGTCCTCTCATAGTTTCTGTTGCTCAAGGAATGGAAATTTGTAGAAGAATCCCCCATAAACTAACAAGCTTCGTTCAACGGATCTTACAAGTATCCACATGTCCGGTCATCTGTTATGAGCGACAGAAATCCTCTTGCACCAGTGTGAGAGAGGGGTTATAAGTGTGTATAAATATCGTAGAGGAGCAAAGGAACGATGCAAATATCCGGTGTGTGAGGCCGTTGTACCCAGCGACACCCTCCCACCACTGTCAGAAACCAGCCAAGGCATTTATTTAAGTCCTCTCTCTCATCACATTTCCGGGTCTTGAGTCGCTTATTGTCAACTTAATACATATTGTTTTTAATATTGTGTTCCCGTGTTTTAACTATGAAGCAAGAGCTTCACAGCAACGTTTTTTATATGGGTGATACAACTGCCTGATGGCCAAACTACAAAACAAGCTTATTTGGGGGAGTCGTGTCGCAGTTTTCCACCGCTATTTCGCACTTTAACTGGTTTTCATTAAACGAAAATGATCAAGCAGCACTTGGGCTGGTTGCGGAAGCTGCTTGCTACACCAGGCACAGTTTATGCTTCAGAATATTCCGTGACGTTAGACGGGGAAGCTCTGCCAACCGCCATGTTCTGTTGATCGAATAAAAATAGAACTGCCTGACCTAACCTAACTCTAGATTCATCTAAGGTATCCTATCCATACCTAACCTAGACTCACCTTTGCTATCCTCGCCTAATTTAACCTTACCTAACCTAGACTCGCTTTGCTATCCTAACCTAATTTAACTTTAACAAACCTAGACTCGCCTTTGCTATCGTAGCCTAATTTAACCTTACTTAACGTAAACTCACCTAAGCTATCTTGATCTTACCTACTCGATCTAGACTTAGTTAAACTCTGCTAACCTACCTTGCTTATATTCATCAGCCACGAGAGATTATTGAAAATTGGTTGTGAACGATTAAAACGTTAATGCCGAAATAGAAAGGCGAGACTCCGAAACGAACAATATTTGTCGTAATTAATCGTACACATATTGACTTCAACTTTCTTTTGTAATTTTTTTGAGCAACGCGAACAGCTGTTCTTCAACCTTAAAGCTGTCTTCATAACTTCTCATGTTTGTATTGGTAACTTAACGCCGCTGTCTCAAACAGGGTTCTTTGGTGTGTCTTAGCGCCATCTTGAGTGGGTATTTTTTTTTAGAGTGCTTGTGGGTTGTTGTTATAGATTCAGCTACTCGGAACATAAGTTCCAAGTAGCACGGGCTATGGTGAGCCCGTAGTGGACTTACCTGGCACAGGAGCGGGGCAAGTAGCACGGGCTATGGTGAGCCCGTAGTGGACTTACCTGGCACAGGAGCGGGTCAAGCAGCACGGGCTATGGTGAGCCCGTAGTGGACTTACCTGGCACAGGAGCGGGGCAAGTAACACGGGCTATGGTGAGCCCGTAGTGGACTTACCTGGCACAGGAGCGGGGCAAGTAAACACGGGCTATGGTGAGCCCGTAGTGGACTTACCTGGCACAGGAGCGGGGCAAGTAACACGGGCTATGGTGAGCCCGTAGTGGACTTACCTGGCACAGGAGCGGGGCAAGTAACACGGGCTATGGTGAGCCCGTAGTGGACTTACCTGGCACAGGAGCGGGGCAAGTAACACGGGCTATGGTTAGCCTCGTGTGCTTGTGGGGAGGGGGAGTTCTTGAGTACTTAAATGGGGAGGGAGAGGAGTTAGTACCTATGAAAAGAGACTTGGAAGGCTTTGTGAGGGGTGGGGGGAGAAAGATTCGAAATCTACATATGATTTCTCATTTAAATTTTACTGTCATAGGGACAGTATTGGGCAGCGTCACTCATCCTGTGAGTTTACTTTCTTGAGACATAAAATATTTACATTTTTAATGTTTCGAGGACATAAAATTAATTACAAATACTATAAAATTTATTGCGTGTGGTTAAAGCCTAGCATTACAATTTAGTTTCCTATAGAATACTAAGTTTATGTTTCCAATAAGAGGACGGGTTGGCACACGAACCCAAGCCACCCACCCAACCTAACCAACCAACGTACAGAAAACGTGGATGTTTGTGGGCCTCTACTTTACACAGTGCCCCATATTGTCACCATTGGGGGGATCATAACGTACAAAATAGGGTGTATTATAAGACATGAGAGGTGGGACCAGGCTGGTAAGGGGAGTGCGGCGGCCAGTGCCAAGATACTCACGCTCACGTTCAGTCTTCCTGGTTTGATAACCACTACTTCGGAAACTGCTACGCACAGCACAATGATATTTTGATTGGGAGGAAGACTACTCGAGTCTGGACCATAATAATATGCACAGACAGGCAGCTGCTTATTCAGGACTTGGGCTGGAGTTATTGTTATCTTACTTTGATCAGAACTTGTTATAAACGGAAAGCTGACTACGCTGCTTATACATGTTCCTCGAGCTGTATATTTTGTGTATAATAATAATAATATAAAAACATGCTGAGTTTTCATTGCATTCTTCACGTTATATTTTTCTTTATCTTGTCCTCCTACAAAGAACGTCGCATTTCGCGCGTATGCGTGACTTAAGGCCACAAGTTGTCGGACTAGAAAATGGAAGCGGCTGGCGAAAGTGACGTATTGTCCCGTTTTCTGTTTTGGGTCCTCTGGTAGGTTAGGATAAGGGCACTTTACATTGACCGCTTTCTTGATGTTGAGAAACCTTAGGAGGACAGGCCGCTT